TGCGGTCACCCCCCCGTCCAAACCCTCCCTTATCCTTGTGGAAGAGTGGTCGGGGGGGATCCCCTCCTCTCCTCTCGCCGCTGCGCCTCGTCCTCCTCCCTGTGCCTGGGGTGCTCCTCTCCACCCGGCTAGCTGACTCCTGGATGCGTCTCCGGCTGCCTTGTCCCCTCTGCCTGGCTCACCTCCTGCCACCGCCATCGGCCATCACTACATCCTCTGGAAGTGAATTCCACATTTTTATCACTCTCTGTGTAAAGCAGTATTTCCTTTTGACCATCCTGAACCTACTGCCCATCCGTTGCATTGAATGCCCTCAGGTTCTAGTATTTTAGGAAAGAGAAAAAGTTATCTTTGTCAGCTCTCTTTACAATTGGCCTGAGGAGAACCTACAATGACTTTTTTTTGGGGGGGATAACTTTCTCTTGCATCCTTCCCACAGCAGAATGGGGATTTGAAGTTTTCCAGCCTGAAACTTCTAACCACTATACCACACTGGCTTTCATGGGATGGCCGCTGTTGAACAGTATCCAGCAGCCAGGCCTGGGTGAGTCATGTAGTTTGGGTGGTATCAAGACACCTAGAGGCCTAGTGGCCACTGCCAGGCCTAGTCCCAGAGAGTCTTCCCTCAAAGGCCAGAACAGTTTCAGAAAGGGGGCTGTCCCCACTCCCTTCTTTTACTGAGAGAAACCAAGCCTGGGATGCTGGCCAATCTATTTTGGTTGCCTAGCAACAGCCACTGAGGACATCCAGTTTTAAAAGCTATATGCACTCCTTTTACCATTTTTGTTGTTTTTTTAAACTCACCATATATTTATTTTTAGATTTCAGATTTTTTTTCTGCAGACCTGAAGCATTTTCAGATTTGTTGAAAGATCCATCCTATCTGTTCACAGCTACAGTTTCCTGATATAAATATCCTCAGATTTGGGCAGGTTGGCTATTAAAATATACAAGCAGGAACCTGCAAGGACTTGTGGGGTACCTCATTTTCCCCTTCCTTCCCTCTTCCCATTTCCCCTTTCCATTCCTTGAAAGCTCCAATAGCCTCTTCCCCTTTCCTGCTTCCTTCTTTCCTTCCCATCCACCTGCCGACCTACCTTTATCTCCTCCCCATCTTCAGTTTTCCCCACTTTCCCTGGCATCCTCTACCCAGGAAAACTATAGCCCACTTGTGCACTGCCAGTTGCCAGAGCAAGCACAGTTGCACACTAGGGAACCTGCAAAGACTTGTGAGGAGCACTCCATTTTCCCGACTTACCTTCCTCACAGTATTTCCTCACCCTCTCTACATGGCAACCCCCATTCCTCGTCCTTCCCTGCTTCCTGCTCTCCTTTCCACCCATCAGCTGTATTTATTCATTTATAGCCCACCTTTTCCACAGTAGGGACCTAAAGCAGCTTACATAATTTTCCTTTCCACCATTTTATCCTTAGAACCACCCTTTGAGCAGGAGCAGATTGGGAGTAAAAAACCCTGGAAAAAAGAACCCCTCCTCAGCATGCCTTGCCCTTACCTACCAAAGTAGGGAGGGAGAGAGGAGAAGGCAGTCTGCTTGACCCTGCCCTGCCCTCCCAATGCAGGGAGAGAAGGAGGGAACAAGAGGCAGGCCTGCCTAACCAGTTAGCCAGGTGCAGCTTTCCTCTTAGGCAGGCTGGGTGTTGCCTCCCTCATCTTGTAGGGGGCTCAGTTGGGTCACCCAGGCTCTTCCCTCTCTTTGCACATGGCTCAGCCAGGCTGGGTGCCTCCATTGTCTCATGTGGAGCTCAGTTGCACTGAGCTGGGCAACCCATCTGCCTTGCCTCACACAGGGCTGAGCTGGGTGCCACTGCCTGCTTCACCTTGCATGGGACTGCATGCCTCTGTCTGCTTTGTCTCATTTGGGCTCAGCTGGGCCAAGCCAGGCACTACCATCTGACTCACTTCATGTGGAGTTGGACTGAGCCAGGCACCGCTTGCCAGGCTGAATTGCCTTGCCTCTTGCCAGGCTGAGCTGAGTACCTCTATCCACATCATATAGTCTGAGCTAAGTGCTGACTGCGTCACCAAACTTGCCTTGCATAGGGCTACAGTAGACCAGGCTCTGGCTACCCCTCTTTGCCTCAGGTGGACTGGGTGCCACCTCTTCCACCTTGTATGGAGTTTGGGTGGGATGGCCTCAGCCCTTCTGTCACAGGGCTGGCCTTGCCTAGGTTTGGGGGAGGCCGTCAGCCCACTGGGAGGTGTCCTGGTGCTCTTAATGGCCAATCTGCCCCATTTGGTGAAGTAAATTCCCTTAAGTTTAAAGAACTATTGGGTTTATGTCAGTGAGGCCCCAGTCTGAAGATTTAAGTATCTGCATATGAGGCCACATTTGACTATTAGATGAACAATGTTCGAGTCCAGTGGCACCTTTAAGACCAACAAAGTTTTATTCAATGTTTGTCGTAAAGGTACCACTGGACTCAAACATTGTTCTGCTGCTTCAGACCCACCTGGCTACCCACCTGCATCTAATTTGACTATTAGATGTAAGACAAGTGGAGACCTGTGATACTCACGGAGGGATCTCTCCCCTTAGCTTCTCCTTCCCAACAGCAGTGCTGCTGGGACCTCTGTGGCTCTGGGCCTCCCCCAGACACCAACTGGGATGCTGCTGGAACCAGGGCGGCTCCCTACCATCCCCCACAAATGGCAATGCTGCCAGGACTACACAGCTCCTGCCCAATCCCCCTACCAGTGGCAACAATGCCAGGACTGCCACAGTTCCTAGCCTCCCCCCCACACCAAGGGTGATGCTGCTGGGTTTCTCGCCGCTCCCAGTCACACACACCCTGAAAGGGGAGGAGGTAGGTGTGTTGTCTGCCCATGCACAGACAAAGCTTTTTTGGGGGGGATACAAACCTCCCTAATGTCTTGGGGTTTTTTTAAGTTTTCAGGTTTTCCTGTAAGCCTGGGAGGTCCCCCAAGTTTGCAGGGAAATTTGTGTGGCCCCAATCTACACATTACGAAAACTGCAGATTGGGTTAAACTTAGCTATTAGAACATAAGATGATGACAGAAGTAATAATTGAGTAGAATCTGCATTCAAAAAACTGTAACAATTTATTTTATTTCCTTTAGGTGGTCGCCAAACGGGCTTATATGGCAGTGGGATCCCTCACCATAAATGCAGAACGCTCAGAAGTGGTAGACTTTTCTGTGCCCTTCATTGAGACAGGAATCAGTGTGATGGTGTCACGAAGCAATGGGACTGTCTCACCTTCTGCCTTCCTAGGTAAAGGTTTCTTCTGAGGAATCCCAGTATGCTGGGGATTATTTGATGAAAGCAGCTTCCATTTAATTTAATTTAATTATGAATCAATTATTAATGTTTGATTCTGTCCAATCAAGTTTATTTGGCTTTCCCCTACCTTTGTTTTTCCAAATCAAAATTATTATGGAGAACATCTCTTTTACCAGCCTCTCTTCGGTGTCTTCAGCAGTAGTCTACCATGCAGAAATTTAGATTCAAGTGGGTAGCCATGTTGGTCCAAAGCAGCAGAACAAAGTTTGAGTCCAGTGGCACCTTTAAGACCAACAAGGTTTTATTCAAGGTATAAGTTTTCATGTGCACATGAAAGCTTATACCTTGAATAAAACTTTGTTGGTCTTAAAGGCACCACTGGACTCAAACTTTGTTATGCACAAATTTAGTACATGAAACGTTTCCTGTCATTTTGAGTTGTAGCCAAAAACAAAACAAAACAAAAAACTCCAAACCCCAATGCGGCTCTACTTGTACAATATCCCATATCCCCCTTTCTACTTCAGCCACTTGCACCTATGAAAAAGCTGCTCCTGAAGGTCTGAAGATCCTCTGGAATGTTGTGTAGCAAGGTATTGTATCTTGAGGGGAGAGATCTGATGGAAATCAGTGTGGTTTCCCCCACAGGCAAATGGAAGTACCTTCTGCTCAGGCTGTGGACTATGTGGGACCAATCCTTTGTCTGTTCATGCAACTTAATTTCTGTGCATCTATCTGTTGCTAAAGCAAAATGAATAAAACACCCAATGGTTTAACCAGCCTTCTTGTCTAACACAATCTATAAGCAGGCCTCTGTAATTAATGTGTCCTGCAACAGAGAAAAGGTAAAGGTAAAGGTTCCCAGTCGAATCCGACTCTAGGGTTGCGGTGCTCATCTCCGTTTCAAAGCCAAAGAGCCAGCACTGTCCGAAGACGTTTCCGTGGTCACGTGGCCGGCATGACTAAACACCAAGGTGCACGGAACACTGTTACCTTCCCACCGGTGGTACCTATTTATCTACTTGCAATTTCTTGCTGTCGAACTGCTAGGTTGTCAGGAGCTGGAACTAGAGATGGGAGCTCACTCCAAGAATGCAAAATATGGTACTGGATAAGTTTCCTATGCATTGCAACTTTCCTTTTAAATAAAAACTAGGATTTAGCCCTTATGGCAGTGGAGCCATGCTTGCAAATGCATGGGCAGTGCTTGTTGCAATCTTATAAGACAGAGTGGTGGCTGATTCAAAATTCCAGTGGCTGGAAAGGGGGCTTTGGTGCCCTGTCTTCCCCATGACTAAATAGAATGAGCATTAACTGTACGACATACAAGAAAGTCATGCAAGTTTAATTTATATGATTTATTCTGGACACAGAATCTGCCTTTTCTTGGAACAGAATTTGGATTTCTTTTGTACAGAATTAATATTTTTAAAGACAAAACACAGCTCTGTCTATAGCTTTTGACCCTGCCCCCCTCAAGTGTGGTTGTATGCCCTGGTGATTAGGGCCTTCAGATAGGATGGTATGGAGTGTTGTGAATTACCCGATTTTTTCTCTTCCATTCAGAACCATTCAGTGCTGATGTGTGGGTGATGATGTTTGTAATGCTGCTTATAATATCTGCGGTGGCTGTCTTTGTCTTTGAGTACTTCAGCCCTGTGGGATACAACCGATGTCTGGCTGATGGCAGAGGTAAGGAGATATATCTTTCATTTTACCCCTGACTTTTCTGAAAACAGAATTCCTCGGAGCCCATTTTTGTTTGCACATATGACCCAGGTTGTTTACACAGTTTATATTTTCTCTAGGAAGACAAGGACAAAAAAAAAAAAGATCAACCGAGAATGAATAGCAGATAATCTGGGCAGATTTTTTGGGGGAGGGGAGATGTTAAAACTTCTGCAGTGCCATGAAATATGGAACCTTTAATTGCTAGGGAGAGTAGCACCCTGGTCTTCTGCATGTTTACTCAGAAGCAAGGCCCACTGATTTTAGGTGGGACTTTCTCCTATGTGTGCTGCTTTTTAAGTTCTTAAATTTGAAGTAATGTTTCTTTTCTGTACTGCAGCTAAGTAATATTTGGAGAATTTTGTAATATATATGATTTTTAATCCTGATTTATAAAATGGTAGTTTTTTTGCTTTGGTTCTTGCTGTGGATTTCTTGAATGGAGATTGGAAAGTGCTGTTGTTGTCATGTTCATTGCAGTGATCTGAACTGAATAATATGTGAATGCATTTCTCATTGCATTATTTACATTACCCACTGGGTCACAGAATGGGTTGCCAAGAGATCTCCCAGAATTACATCTGATCCCCAGACTACATAGATCAGGTCCCCTGGAGATAATGGCAGCTTTAGTAGACTGTATACGGAAGTCTCTTCTCTCCCCAGGCTCTACTCCAAAATCTCCAGGAGTACTGCTGCACAGTAGTAACCCCTCATGACCAATGTTCCCTCTAAGCTGTGGAATCTTGTGAGCAAAAATCCTACTTTGTGAGCTACTGGCATTACAGTTGTGAGCGAGCAATTTGGCTGCTGCATAAATTAGTTTGCTCTGGAGCCCTCCTTCCTGAGCTAAGACAAAAAACTGTGAGCTCGCTCACACTAACTCAGCTTAGAGGGGACACTGCTCATGACATTTGTTCACCTCCAGATTATAATGTGTGTCAGAAGCATGGAGGAAATAAGAAAGTTACTCTGCTAAGGGAGCCATTTTGAGGGGGGGGAAATCAATGCAAAAAAGATGAGCAATGTCTCCTGTCACATTCTAATACCCTCATATATTTGAAATAAGTTGTCCTCTATTTTAAAAACATATCTGCTTGCCAAAGAGAGGGAAATTAAGGTTTAGGTACTGGTTTTCCTACTGTGTGATACTGAGGGAAGGGAACAGAATTGGGGGGGGGGAGCAGAGAGTGAAGAAAGCAAAGCTCAACTCTATCTTTGATCAGATGATTTATGAAAGAAGAGCCAAAGGCAGACATAGTTTATATATCACAGATATAGAGCTTGGATAACAGTAAGTTACTGGTACTCTCTCCTCAGCTTCATTAAGCTGTGAAATGGCCCCCTACCTGAGGCCTTCTGGTTTGTCTACAGGCTGATAATGTTAAAAC